GAAAACCTCCATAACTCCGCTCAGAGAATCGTTCCGCAAATTTTGAAGATAGTTTCGAGTTCACCGTGTCAAGATGAGTACAATGATGTGCATCTCATTGCATATGGCCAGGCTGACCTGTTGACCTTTCCTGGTAAGATGTGCCGGAAATCTTGTGGAAACCTGTAAATGCCTGTTATCACAGTGGATTACTGAAACAATTCACGGCTTCCCAGGAGTTCACAGGTCTGACCAAAGTGAGGCCTGCTAGTTAACATACTAACAAAAGCGACTAGCGAAAGTGCCTAATGCTCCTTCCAAGCCGAACAGCGCCGAGTTTTGCTCCTAGGGCACTTCCTAGTATTGTGCAACATTTTTCAACATGAGACCTCTCGCCCAGAAGTTTCCCAAAAGCCCATCGAGCTGGTGGTGGGAGTGGTCCTCTTTTCCAATCGAGTATCAGAAATAGACTGCGGCGCTGGCGACGTAAAATAAGCCGTGCAAAATAGGAAAAAAATAAGCAAGGAAAAACGTAGTCGGACCCAGTACGACCCGCTTCCAGATACGACCTTCCACAACCTACGTTAGAGAATTTTCAACGTACGACGCGCCCTTGTCTCCCTACACCCTCACACCAGTAACGATGAAAAATCGCCCCGCGTTCTATCCAATGCATCAATTGCCAGTAAACAGCATTGTTCTGATTTCAGTTCTACCAACACTGAGCTAAGCGCTGAACGACTTGATGCCCTAAATTGGCCATCACAGTGTCGAAAACCAGTAAAATGTCTAGGAAATAAAACTCTCATTTAACAAATTCGTAGTTCACGATACAAGTCAGGGCGCTCACAAGGAATTTTTCAGAGCCGGGGAGGTACAAATTCTCGATTATCAGACTCAACAGTTCCGTGTCATGCCACAATTGGCTCGTGCATTCGCCTTTATGTTCGCCGCATATGAGATGCGGGATTTGTATATGAAGGTTGGTTTCTTTGTACCGGGTAGTAAACCGCAGACGGGAAGTCTTATAAACAGAGCCGTTGTGCCCTAGGGATCCTCAGGGGGGATCGTATTTCGCTGTCGGAGAGGAGGAGGTCATGGCGCCTGTGAGGAAATGCTCCTGGTTGTTGGCCTTACCATTGGGAACATGGTAGGTATGAGGATAGGGAAGGGCGTCATAGTGGGAAGAGGAATTCGGGGGGGGGGGGATTACGTGACAACTACATTTTTAGGTGGAGGTCCTGTTGCGAAAGGCCGGAGCGCCACGAAACAAAGGACTGCGGCTGCCAAGGCCGTCTCAGGGCACTTGTCAACCGAGAAGCCTCTCCTCTCTTTCCTTTTTTCTTCCTACCTCCTTTTCCCTTCCTTCCTTCTCTGATCCTCCTCCTTACCTTCTCCCTTCAACTACTGGACTGGTTGCCTCGTGAAAATAACCATGGACCCTCGCAGCGACTTGAGAGGTACAAAAAACATGTCGCGAGCTAGTGGATGTGTTCTAAGGAGTAAGAGTAAGAGGACACCAGGATGATTGAGCTTACTTAATATGGCCATTGTCCCAAGATGGCCAAGAACACTGGGAAAAACAGAAAATTGGCTCATACTGATTGAGTTCTAGTTGTCCGTAGAACTTCGGGGGGAGAAACGCATTTTGCCAACTCTTCGTGCGCGACGGAAAGAAGTCGCGTGCCAGTGAGAAAGACGAAGTGGCTTTAGAATCCGGGCCTCTTTTTTACGCTTGCAATTGACTTGTTGTCTTCAGGTCACCGAACAGCTGACCCACGGAAATGTCGACCTTCTACCTGAGATTCATGCACTATCCTCTGGATTGAAGTCGGTCGTCTCATGGGAAGCCGCTCAGGTGAGCAGCAGTCCAACTGTGGTTAGGAGAGCAGCACCTAACCACAGTTCTATAGTTTTGATAGTCTTATTCTAGGGTATCGAACAATGTCGCTTGGCTTGTGGTGGCCACGGATATTCGTTGGCATCGGCATTCCCCGAAATCTACGCCTATTCTGTCGGAGGCTGCACCTATGAGGGCGAGAATACTCGTAATGCTGTTGCCAGTTGCCAGGTGACTTTCCTTCCTTGACGCACTTTATTTTTCTGGAGCCCGGAAATAGAATTTTTCTAATTTATAATTCATTTCCCGTAGGTGGGAGTGGGTCAGAGGCAAATGGCGCCACTGCCATTAAAGGGTTGAGCAGCCGAAGGCTTTGACTGTCCCGCAGTCTGCCATCGCTCCACCCCCGTCCCAACCATTGTGCCTACCCTAGAACTTCCGTTTCAAATCCAGCCCAAGCAAACAGACGCTCGGACAGTCAAGCGGTAGACTAGTGCTTGGAGAAACGAAAACCTCCAAGTTGCACATCATCCCGTGACTTATGATTCCTTATGAGTTCAGTCTTCTGAACACTTGGCGGAGCCAGGTCCACCATAGTTTTTCTCTTCATTAGTGCTGCCTGTCAACTGTTAGGCCGACAAATATAAATGGGCGCCCCGTGAAGAAAACAGCCATGCCTTGTCATGTCATTCGCTTAAGAGATACTGGTGACTGTCCTTCAAGAAGGATTGATCAGCACCGTAAGTCATCCTTTCCAACATCTTAACGTTCTCGCTTCAGGTTCCTAATGAAGGCCGCTGAAGAGGTGCGAAGCGGAAATGCACGTCTAGCAGCAATATGCGGTTATTTGGCCAAGCCTGACACAGCACATTCAAAATTCAGCTCCTGGCAGAGCTACTCGGATTCAGATATAGTAACAAGACTTTGAACACGTAGCAAGAAAACAGGTGGGTCAAATGGAAAACTGGAAAAGCCATTAATTGTCAAATTTGTGCTCTGACTCGGAATTTCATCGTTTTAGAAAGCAAGCAATTTATAACGCTCCATTCAAAACATAGGAGGCCGACGGGCAGCAGTCTCTGACTTGTAAGACACAGCCCCCACATGATCAGGAATAGGCGGTCCGCAATCACATTTTCCTCAGCCACCGCGCCCTTCTTCAGAAACTATAAGTAAGGGCGCAATCCAACATAAAGTGTGCATTAGAGAAGGGTCGGTGAAGGCGTTTCGGGCGGGGTATGCACTCTAGGGACGCCTTCCAACCGCGACGCTTCGGTATCGCGGCTGTGTAGCGGATTATGACCTTACCACTACGAACCCTTGAACTGTCACTCCAACGCTTCAACGACCTCCACAGATTGCTTCCATTTTTTGTGAGCTCCGTGACAAAACCCAGGTAATAAGACCGGTATTGATTATACGCGCGAAACGATCTCGTAATTTAAGAATCCTCTCTTTGATGGAGTGTTTGGAAGACTAGACTGGTTTGCAGAGGCAACAAACGTCCGATGACAGTCTGAACGGGCTTTTTCCACGGTACCTTCGTCGGAATAGAAACAATTTAAATCTCTTTTCACTGGGAGCTCGTGACGCTTGCACCCCGGGTATGGGTTAGGAGATTCGAAATGCGGCAGAAAAGGAGAGAGCGCGTTGGCAAGTGCAATCGCAATGCGCGAAATTGCACCAGACCTCATAGAAAGAAGCAGGATAATGGAAAAAAATGACCCGGATAGCGCAAGAAATACGACCCGACAAGCTTAGCTAAAGAAATGTCGCGCACAGCGAGCAGATCTTCTTGCTGGTGTAACTCTCCTCTCAGATAAACTAACTTGTACCGATAGCTCCTACTCCCTACGGATGCTGAAGTGGAGTTGCCCTCAAGACCTCCAATCCTCAACACTCACACTTAGAGTAAACCTCACCTTCGAATTTTGTTGGGTGAAATCACCCCCGCCCCACCAAACATGCGCTTTTTCTTGTAACCTCAGAAAATTTTCTTAATCAGAGTATCTATCCGATTCCGGCCTGCATCGGTCTTTCAATTCTCATGCCAATCTGACAAGCCGACTAAAAAAATGTCATGGAAAATCAGGCTGTTCACGCCACTTACTAAGTTTCTGAGCTTTCCTTGCATGCCGCGAGACGTCTTCCAAACCTGCCACCGTTCCGCTCAGATGGCGCAATTGTGTGACGCCGTCAATCGCGGGCAACCATTCATCCTAAATATTTTATCCTTTTCAATGGTTACATCACAGTTCTGAAAAGTTTCAGGTCTTCCGTGCCTACGACACCTTGAAGCGGCATCAGCGTGAAACGTCAAGTGAAGAGGCATGGAATCGAGCTTCGATCGAGTTGTGCAAAGCATCCAGAGTAGGTGCACATCAGCTTATCGTATACAGTTTCTAACAATCGTATGCGTTGCTTTCAGATGCATGTACGCCTTTATATTGTCCGAACCTTCTTGGAAAAGGTCGCAACTGCTCCAGATGCCTCTCTACGATCGATCGCCGGCTCACGAGATCCTCACTCACCGCGACTATTGCTTTCGAATTTGAATTACTTGCCAGTCAGGAGAGAGTTTTTGAAGTGGCGCCAGGTGTTTCATGAGACCTAGACCTGGGGAAACCAGCTTTCGAGTTTTATTTTGAGGATTTCGGCGAATCGGCCTAGTTCCAGTGCCCCAGACGCAGAGTGTACTCTGGTCGCGTGGCTGGGTCATGCCTACCCTTGTGCATTCCTTTCTGTGCCGAGAAAGACGAGGAGCCGGCATAAAAAAAGGAGCAATGGGACGCCCTCCCAAACGACGAGAGTGCACTTTACCTTCAAGGATATTGTTTATCACATTCGCGATGCGGCGAGGGCAGCTGCAGACTTGTTTGCTGCAGAAGCCGAACATTGTCGTAGGTGGAGAGCGTGTTTAGTGCGATTTCAACTTATTTCCACCATCTCTGGTCCGCTGGGGCCTTCAATCAATTGGTAGAGAATGGGCCACGTGCTGGGGCCTTGCGCCAAAACCCGACACCGTACTAAAATGCCCTGCTTTCACAGCGAAAACCCAGAACTTAAACACAAAACAAAGGGCTTTTTTGCAAAATCAGACCCAACCCACTGACGTGCCGCTGAGGCGCGCTAGCTTGACTTGTTGGGGAATACTCCAGTAAATTGTGGGCATTTTCGCATCTCGGATGTCCTGAGCTACCTTCTACCATTAAAGCAGCGACGCATTCTTCCCACAATATCAGTCATTGCAGTGCCACAGTACTAGTGCGCGCGTACATTTCAGTACCTACTAGACATGATTTTGTGGGTCAGGGCTTAATTGTAGAAGTGGTCTCATAGGGAGAGTTTACAAAGGCCTTGGGTAGGGGGGGCCGGGGGGGGGAGAAGGGCGCTGTCGTGGTATTAACATCGAAATCTCTGCTAAACCTTTGGCCACCCAGGTTGCATAGTCCTTACCCCTAGTGATGCCTTCGACACAATCCTGTATGCCCATGAGAAGAAATAAAACCCATACAGAGGTAACAGACATGTTAATCATACGGCGGGGTTCCCTGGAAACCATTCTGCTCCCCCACTGCTGTCTCTATCCCCGGTAAGGAATCACCAACGGGCAGTGGGCCAGGACTTTGTTCTATACGCTAACGCAACCACTGCCTGAGTTTATGGGCAAAAGTCGGACCACGGACGGGATTCGAACCCGCATCTTCTGCTTACCGGGCAGTTGCGTTCCCTATTACGCTACCGGGCCACTTTTGACCTCTCATGGTCAAGCTCAATGGCTTTTGTGTACCATTGCCTTCGAGCACTCACACGTTCAATGTGATGAGCCGGTTAGCCAACTTCTGCCCACAACTCAGCATTCTTGTAATAACTTTTGGATCGCGCACTGCGGCAGACAGCAGTTATCAAAAGCAATAACAACCATTGCTTTTTCACCGACGGATTCCTGTAACGTCCTTATTCATTCGAGCTGATCTAGGGAGGTTTTCATCGGAAAGTCAAGCCGAAGGAGTCCGAGATGGTATTTATCGATGCCTGGAAAGGCTTCGACCAAACGCTGTCTCCTTGGTTGACAGCTGGGACTTCGACGATGCTGAGCTCCACTCGGTATGTTAAGTCTCCTGAAAGTACATATTAGTCAGCTAGACCAGTACTGCCCCTTCATTAACAATTGAATGCTTTAAGGTTCTTGGACGTCGTGATGGAAATGTCTATCCAGCTCTTCTGGAATGGGCCCAAAAGAGTCAGCTGAATAGGACCGAGGTAAACTTGCAGGATCCTATAATTTCCACAAGACTTTCTGACAAATTCAAAATTTTAGGTATTGCCGACGTTCGAGAAATACCTAGGACCTATGATGAAAGAGGGACGATCTAAGTTGTAGTTGTTCACTCTTTGATTTGTAAATAAACAAAGGCTTCTTGTATTGTTCACATTATTCTAAATATTTTCAATTACTGTGTAATTAAGAAATGCGCGAAAGTCGTCGGCCAAGCAGGAAAATTGACCCACTACTCATCCCTCCACTGCCGCTTCAACGCCTTCAAGCCAAAGCTGTAACCAGGGGGAGTCTTCCGTTGCCCCACCTCCACTTCAAGTGGAACCGCCGAAGAGAGGAGGTACTCCCTTCCACGATTAAACTATTAGAAAAGCCTCAATCGCGGAGCTACCGACTACTGCGTACGAGCAGGAGCGCCGCATCGGGAAGCTGTTCGGCTTGGGATGGGCATTCCGCATTTAGCTAGCTTCTTTTCCCTGTTAGTCTACATGTCACACCTTAAGACTCTTCTTATAAGGTGTGAAGGAAGCTTCTTCTACTCCATCGCTTTACAAGAAACATCGGTATTTGTAGCGACAGTGAAAAATCAACATTTTGAAAAAAAACCGTTCGCCGCGAGAGATACCCTCCCCATCACTCTGTTTGTGGATATCCTCAAGCGTTTATAACCTAAAACGATGAGGAGGGCGTGGCGGCGCGCAATCCCATTTTTAGACGCCGCTTAGAATACGTTTTTTGTAGGACCTCTTCATTCTGCATCTGTCATACCCTGTCCGTGCTACACAAAGAAGATAATAACAGTGCTCGCACGAAGCAGAAAATTTCTACTAGAAGGCAAAGCCTTGCACGTTCGACCAAGATTTACGGCGCACAACTTGCGCAGTTCGGCCGTACGGCGGGGGCATTTTATGCACTTTTACTGGCTTCACTACTTCCGGTTCACATGTCTGACTCTGGCGGAAACTTGTGAACTGTTGTGAAGCTAGAGCAAACTCGTCTGGTCACCATTCCAAAACGTGACACCTCGAGAAAAGACTATCCGGATGGGTCGGCACATCGATGGAAACCGAAATGCCTCCTCCCCGTCGCCGAACTGCGCCGCCACGCCCTTTCCCATCTCCGCGATAAGGAGTGCCCAAAGTGCCCCGCAATTCCAACATCATTAAACTACTTATCCATTTGGGTGCCCTTCGCTTAGGAGGGGGCTGGGGCGCCCAGTATTTTGGCACTTTTGCCAGTTTATTTAGCTTGATCCCTGTTTTTAATTACCACTCCGCCTATCTGAGAACCTCCAGCATTGGAACGCGAGCCGGCTGTTATTGGTAAATAGCGTTTATTCAAAACTTACAGAGCAAATCTTACAAAGGCCTCGCAGGCATCAGCAAACGGGCAACTGGGAAAACGCCGGCGACAGACGAATCGTCCCTGTACTATATCTATCAGACCTACACGAAAAAAGCGTGGGAGGCAAGGAGGCCGACCGCACGGGGAGTCCATGGGGATACGTCACATTCCAGGGCTAGGAATATCGCGTAGGCCCGAAGGTCGAAATCCCCTAACGAAGTCGGTCTAAAATGTTGGTTCAGTACTTTAGATAGATCGTGAAAGGCAAGCGGAGCATTTTTTCACCTCTGCTCGCAATGTTACTTTGGGAGCTGAAGAACATTCTGTAAGAGAGAAATATCAAGTAAAATTATTCCATGGATTGAACAAAGCAGATAGAAGACCATCATAACACAAAAAATTTTTATTAAAAAATCATTGCTCTACTAATCATTAACAGGTACGAGGTATGTTTAATGAAACGCATCTGGTATATGAATGGAATTCTGCTAGCATTTTTTTTCATTTCTCCCCGCTCAAACACCTCAGTCACGCTCCAGCTCGGCAACGGGCGGATCGTATTGGTATCGTATGGTCTTCGATGGAGTATAGTCCTCTGTGTACATTTCTTTGAAGTTATCGCGCTAAAGTATTGTTCTTTAGAAGGGAAAAGACTCTATGAGGAGAAAAATCGCTGATTGGTTGAGGAGACTCACCGCATACATCGTCCTCGTTGTAGGCTCCAACATTTCGAGCGGATGTATTTGATCGGTTTTCAATCGTTTGTGTACTTTTCGACTTTTTCTGCTACTTGTTTGAAGCGAGCGAATCGATAGTTCTCAAAAGTTTCCAAATTTACCGTCCATCTGCTGTGCGTGGGTCAGGAGATCCCAGTTCCGGCAGAGGAATTGAATGGTTAGCGCGGAACACAAGGCCCTGGTGCGAATGTCGCGTGCGACACCTTGTGCGACAACGCTTTCGGAGTACCAGCACAACTTGAATCTCCTAGCCCACACTTGTTGAGACGGGCCTACGACTCTTACTATACTTACTATCAGAAAATAGGATATAAATAGTGCCAGACATTACTACGCGCTTGATGACTCATCTTTGCCGCGCTCATAGTGCACAACACACGTCGTACGCTGGGTATTCCCAGCGATAGGAATCCTATTTGGTCACTAGATGGGGAGGGGAGGTCGTATGTGGCTGCGAGAAAAATGTTCTTGGTTGCTGACCTTTCTCGGTTTTCCCCGTTTCCACTGCGCTTTATAACTCCTCCAACCCCCCTCTTTCGACGGCCAATTTTTTGGGGCCGGATATGGGCCTTAAAAATTGGGAAATATTATAGGTAGGATGACTGGGAAAGGGTGAATCATACAAGTCAAGGATGGGGGGAGAGCGTCTTTTGTGAAAATTTTTAACGGTAAGACGTGTACTGAGAGTAGATGCCGCCTGCTTGAGATGAGTCAACGGGCCGTCGTCATAGCGGTACTAATCGTGAGGGGAGGGGGGAGGGTTATGATTCACAATGAACGATTCTCCCATTTGATGTGCCCCTTGAGGGGTTGGGCTGAAGTAGAATAACTCCAGAAAACGGTAGCTGACGCCGATGCAGGCAAGAAAAAGGGCGTGGTAGATTCCCCCCCCCTCCCTACCAGAGTTACTTTAACTACGCCAATCCCAACAGCTGGGTGTGGTGCTTACCTTCCAGTCGCAGCGGAACAGGCGTTGCAAGGGGACGGGGGTGGCGTATGCAGCAGCAGCATCAGGATCAATCCATTCAACATGGCCGCGGCTCTGCGCGTCGAATCTATCGCCCGTGTCAGCTCATAGGCAGCGTTTAGACTTCGCGACGGCAGTGCTTCGGTCGCGCCTTCAACTCCATCGATGCGCATGCTTTCCGACTGCATTGATTGCGTTGAACGCGCGACCGAAGGGCTGCCGTCGCGAAGTCTGAACGCGCCGTAGTGCGACGCCGCGATTGGGAGAGCTCCTCCCAATCGCGGCGTCGCACTCCTTGCTGTCCCCTCAACTACCCTGGTGTCAGAACTAGATTCTCACTTACCATTCAAATTCACCATGCTTCGGATAGTGTTCCCGAAGATGTGTTCCTTTTTGAAGCACAGATTGTCTCTTGTTTGCAGAATTTTGACATCTTCTATAGGATCCAGTACTATCCTAAACTCGCACTCGATTCTCTTTTGAAGAATAGTTCTCCAAAAAAGGACTGACTGTATGTCAGGCATTGGTACGAGCTTCAATCGGCCTTCCAATGCGTCGATAAGCACTGAAGCGTTCATCACAAGCTCTTCATCAGTGATATCCTGCAGGCAACTCGAGATAAATAAATCAAAATCAAGCACAGAGATGAGGCAATGACAAAAAATGGTGAACATTGGACTCCATCCTCTTGGCCAATCAAACCTCCGGTCCTCCTGAGGTCTAGTACTGGTACCAGATCTCATTATCAAAAGGCGGAGACTGCTAATCGCGCAAAGCGGTGGCGTTCTTTCGCGAAGGTGATAACGTCTTGTTTACTGCAAGACGACGGCGTGGATGCTGGGGCGTGTCAAGGGGAAAGGTGCGTAGAGTCCTGCCTAACGTCGATCCGTTCTCTCCCAGTTGTTGTCGTTTGTGCCCGTTTCATCTCTACTGGTGGTGAAGGGGTTAGCGTTGCGCCACACCCCTTAGCATTCGCTCTGACATCTTTCAGCATCCGCCAGAATACAATGACTTGACATTTTCTATGACTGGCGAGCCCGGCCATGTGAGCAAAGATGGGCTTTACACGGCTAGAGGGGATGGTCGACTCTTTTCCTAAGTCATAAAAAAGGGTAAGGCCAGTGTTTCAACCGACTTTGCTGGCAGCGTCCGACCAGCGAGCAGCAGCCCCATCGGCGCCATTCAGCTCGGAGAGTCCGTTCGCGTCAGCGACTAGGAAAGTATAAAATCGATCTAGAGAATGGCAGCGTTTACCAGCGTCCACTAGTGTTCACAAGCGTCGTCAGCGACCATCAGCGTCTTGAGGGGCTAGAAATTATAGATGTCGATCAGGCGTCTACCAGCGTGCACTAGCGTCCGCAAGCGACCAGGAGTATAGATTATGGGGAAGTAGGAGGATAGCGGACTGCTGGTAGAGTACGGGGACTGGGAGAGAAGAAACAACTGGATTAAGCGTCGTGAAGTTGTGAGGTGTGCAGCCGCACCGTATTACTACACAATAACGTACTCCTAGTCGCTGATGAACGCTGGTGGTGGCTGGTGGACGCTAGTAGACGCAAGTCACGGTTGCTGATGAACGCTGGTGGACGATGGTAGAGGCTAATTGACACCCATATTTTCCTGGCCAATCGAGACGTTGGCGGACGCTTGTAGACGCTAGTCAACGATGGTCGACGCTGCCGTTTACTAGATCGATATATATAGTTTTCTAGTCGCTGACGAACGCCCGAAAGGCCAATGGTCGCTGGCGGACTTGCCGCAAAGTATGAACGGAGCTTTGAGCGCTTTTATGGAGCTCAGGAAATCAGATTATACCGATAAAATAACGGTTTTTAGCACGAAATGCTTCGAATAAACTCACCGAGACCTCATCACTCCACCAAAACGGCATGTCATTTATAAAAAGTTTGTTGTCATTGCAGTTGTTGCCAGCCACGATAGGCATTCCACTATAGGCCAGTCGTGCCTGTTTGACACCAGCAGCCATTGTCGAGATTTCTGCACACGTGTCGAACATCAGCAGCGTGGACTGTCCCGGTTCGTCAGCTTTTATCAACTTTTTGCCACGACCCTTGCGTTCTGCTGATGGATACATTATTTCATCCATACTTAAACTTCGACTCTCCTGGAATCGTTAATATTATAGTACCTTTCCCACTTTCTTCCTTCCTGTCTTTGAAATATTTCGCTATCATCGCCTTTCCTTTCCAAAAAGAAGAACTTCAAAACTGATTACTCGATCCATCAGCGGTATTGGGATTTTTTGTCCAAATGCTATTCCCCTCGACATAACCCACATCAGCCCCAAAAGAAACCTGCTCCTTTCAGTTCCATAGAAATAGAGACCGGAAGGGCACATACAACCTATATCGGCAATAAGGGCCGTTGCTGCGAGGGTGAGAATGATCCGAACTAATGGGAGGCAGAGACGTATGCATAACAGAGAGGAATCGGCATAAAAATCAGGGTAGCTCGAACGTTCAGGATCCCTACCGAAGAGGGGGGATATATCTGGTCGCTGGAAGAAGGGAGGGTTGTATACGCAAGTGAGAAGATGTTTTCGATGAGTGCCTTTTTATTTTACCCTTTTCACGTGCGCGAAATACTCTTTCCCTTGACAGCGAGTGTACGTTTACAGAAAAACTTTCGGAAAAATTGGGAAAATGCAAGGAAGACAGTAGGCAGGGTGGAGAAAGGAAAAGAGGGTCGCATCACCGGTGGCAGCTGACGGGAAGTCATTATTTTATAAGGACTTTCCCCAGCGTTAGACGGGGCTGAAGAGATCCAAAAGCATCAAACGTCGCGGTGTACGCTTCCGTACGCTCCTTTTGCCCTTAACACCTAGAAAACGAAAAATAAAGTCACTTCTAGGACGGCTTCTTTCCTTTCACCTACCAACAGGGGGACCACCCTCTATCCATGTCCTCACCGAGTTCCAGATTCCGTGACACGTAATTGATTCTACAGTGTTGGGCAGCTTTTGCACTTCAACTGCCCACTTTTTTTCAAAATTTGTGAAGGATCTCTGTGAAGTTACGTCTCTGAACGTAGAGTTATTAGATGTGTTTGAAAAAAATTCCCAGGGAAAAACTTGGCCCTAAAAACGCTTGGAATAATGACCCCGCACTCAAAGCGCTGACGCCAGAAAACATCTGACCCACCCAAATCGTTGAGATATTGACCTTTTTTAAGATATCCCGTATCTCGGAGGCTGCGATACGTTTCTTGGTGGGATATTGCTTTTAGGGCGAAAACTGTGATGCACTTCTCTCGTCCGCTCGTCCGTATCGCAGTTGCTCGAATTAGAAACTTTGCTCACGGAAAACGCATTCTACGTATTCTCAACATGAAGCTGCTAGCACGCCCCCCCCCCCATCTGCCGAGATATATGGTGGATCGAATGAGAGACAACCTCTTCCTCAATTGGGCATGGTACGTACAAAAAAAACGGAAAAACTAGCAAAACCATACACTTCTAGAATTGTGTTCTTGCGCTGTTTACTTAGCCCCAGTGCCACAGCGCTTTCGTGTTAGAGAGGCCACTTTTCAATTCCTTTGGAAGCGGTTTCTCAGCTGATGCCGTTGTGATGTTTTGTGCTTGAAAAGTACTTTTTTCTTGGTATCATGTCCAATTAGGGTACAGCATGGATGTAAATGCGAAACCATCGGCGACGGTAGAACGGCCGTTGCGCGAGGGGTCGGGTGGAAGGGAGGGGGATCGTAAACAGATGGTCGGTGAGCGCCAAACGCTATCAAAAAAAAGCCCTTCGATTTTCCCCCGGATAACAGATCTGCTCCACCGCTAATTTGCCATGAAATCATAAGGCGGACGCAAGCGCTTGCGAGTCGTTACCTATCAAATATTTCTCGTTGAAGCAAATTAGAGCCGGAAAGGTGGAGTCGTCTCATAATTGTTTTTCATGGGGGGGGGGGGGGGGTCGTATAACATCGCCATTTCCCACATCACGATGCTGTACCCTGTGTCCCAGTATATGACACACTTTGACGAACCTGCCGAATTCCTGTGAAGCTGCGAAATGGTACACGTGAGTCACTTTGGTCAAAGGTATTCAGAGGCTTTCACAAGGCGGCCTGTACAAGCATAGCTGATCAGCATTCGGTACCCCCACCAAGTCAAAGTGCGTCAGAACTGGTTTACAGTTTAGTTCCAGTAGCATAAAGCTCAAACTCTGTCAAAGATTACGACTTAAACTTACCCTTTGTCCTTCTTCCGTGGTTCGGGTCTAAATCAGATTAACATTGACATTCACACAAATATTCCGGTACAGGAGCCTTGGGTCGACACTTCTGGTGGAGTGTGCGACATACACCGAAATATCGCTTTTCAAATATTTCGGATGAGAAGGAGTCACTCAGTTTTCCTTCCTATACGTCTACAGCGGAGGGGAGGGGCAAAAAAAGACACTTTGGCCGAGTCACATAGTAAAGTTTACGCAGCCCAGAGAGAAGACGTGGATACGAGTACCAGGGCGGAAGATACCCAAGATGTTCCTCGATAAGCAGGAGCAGGCTCTCGCCCATCACCTTCATGTACACCAAAATATGAAGCCATCTCCTCGCAGCCTGACTGGAGAAGGACCTATGGAATTCACGTCACCTCCAAACAGCTGCGAAACTTCTTGTATGGAGTCACCCATGGACAGCTACCTGGAGACCAGCACTCTTGATCTGGAAGACCTCCAACATCGAGCAGCTCCGACAACGTCGCTACGGTCCAGGATATCATCTTCACCGCAGTCGCCAAGGCGCGGGTTGATGGTATGGACCGGAAGTTCCTGGAATGGGAAGACCGATATTTTCTTGACGTGGACCGA